TTTTCTTTATTATTTCTTTATATTCATTAATATCTTCTATTTTAATATCAATTTCTTGTATTAATCTTTTTATTTCTTCTTCTTTAAGATGACCTCTTAATTTTATTTCTAATAACTTCAGTGCAAAACATTTATAGAATGTTAGAATTTATTCTTCTCTATTTGTTTGTTTCAATTATTTTTTGATTATCTTGATCAGATGTGATGATCTTCTTATGCTGATTTCACATCTCTTCGATTGAATTCTGCGTTAACTTTCTTTTTTTTTGAAGATCATCTTCAATTGATGATATTTCATCAGTTACTACCATATTGAGGGTGAGGTCATTCACAATTTGTGTTTCAGATGAGTCAGATATAATGTGATTTATCTCTTCTTTCTTCTTTTCTTCTTGTGTAATTTTATTTTATAATTTAAATAATTTATCTTTCATGAAATATACTTGTTGTGATAAATTGCTTACCTCAGACATTTTCATTTCTGATTCAGCATTGAATTCAAATAATTTTCTATCAATTTCTTGTTTTTTAGTGTTTATCTCATTCTCATGTTTCTTCTTTAATGAAATAATGTCATTTGATAATTTATTAATGTTCTGGTCATTCTTTTGTATTTCTTCATTTCTTCTTTCTCTTTAATAGCCTCCTCTATTCTTTTCTTTAATTCTTCTATTCTTTTATCTTTTTCATTCTTCTTTTCTTCTTCTTTTAATTTTATCTTTTCTTTTTCATTAAGTCTCTTCTTATCTTCAGTAATTTCATTTTCATCATCATTTTCAATATTGTATATTTCTTATTTAAGTATTTATCATTTATTTCATTTTGATTTATTTGTTTATCTTCTTCTTCAAGTGTCATACTGATAGTTTCTCCATTCTATTCATTTTTATTTTTTCTCTTGCAAGTAAATACCATTTTCTCATTATTGTTGATGGTGTGTATTCCTTAATCTTAGTGTTCTTAATTTATTCTACTTCTTATGGTGTAAGTATTTTGGTTTCTTCTTCAAATAGTCTTTTCAAATATTCTTGTTTTGTATTTCTATCATTTTTTTTATTTCTTATTTGTTGTTGTCTTTTATTATGTTATTGTTTATATCTGTGTTGTGTTTTATTATGTGATTTATTTGTATTATAATACTGATTGCTTCTATTTGAATTATTGATAAAATACTTATGATGATGAAAAAGAATGAATTGATGAATGAAATGATTCTTACCATTATTATTATAATTATTATGATAATTGTTATGGTGATAGATATTATTATGGTAATGATTATTGTGATTATTAATGTATTTCTGTTCATACAGATAATACCTGTTTTCACTCATTCTTCTATCAATATTTCTTGGTTGGTATGGATTTCTCCTTCTTTTGTTATTGATTTTTTTATAATTTTTGTGGTGTGTCCTGTAATGCTTCGGCATCTTATGAACAAATAGAAAATAAAAATGATAAATAAAAATAAAAAATGAACTAATTATAGATAAATAACAATAATATTAAATATTATTATTTTATTATTAATTTTATTATATATTATTGTTATTTAAAATAATAAAAATAAATAACATTTAATTTAATGAATAAAATGAAATGATGTTTATTAAAATAATAAAATAATAAATAAAATGATGTGTTATAAACGTGTATTTAATTATTTAATCATCTGATTTTAATCTTAAATACATTAAATTAAAATGGAAGAGTTAATAAACAAGAACACTCATTTCTTTAAAGAAGAAATAGAAACACTTCCAAATATTCAACAATCAATTGATGATATTAATAAACATTATCAATATTATTTAGGAAGTATTAAAAATGAAATATTTGAAATAAAACCAGATGAAACATATTCAGAAGCTATTAAAAGAGGAGAAGGAATATTTGATAGGATTGATGAAACAGAAAGAAGAAGAAAATTAATAATAGAAAAAAGTCAAGAAACAATTAATCAAATAGAAATATTGATCGATAAAATGATAAAAATAATAGAAGAATGTGAAGGTGATGAAGAGATACTAAGTAAAACACGGAATGAAATAATCAATACAATCATTTCAATTGAAGAAATGGATATGAAAAATAAACTATTCAGAACACCAAAAGAAAAAGATAAAATCACACAATCATTTAACAAAAAGAAAGAAGAATGGAACACATATTACAGTGATTATTTTGAGATGAAGAAGAAAAAAGAAGAAGAAAGAAAAAGAAAAAAGGAAGAAGAAAGAAAAAGAAAAGAAGAAGAAAGGAAGAAAAGAGAGGAAGAAGAGAGACTACAGAGAATGAGAGGAATGTCAACATCAAAATATCAAATCGAACAACTAGAAGAATGGACAAATAGAAAAATATCTAATATACTATTTGATTCAGATATTGATGATTGGAATAAGAATACATCAGTATTTGATCAAAGAATAATAAATAAAGAACATATAATAATTATGATTGAAGACGAAGATGGAAATAAATTTGGAGGATATATTAATGTGAAAATTAATAAATTTGGTTGGATAAATGATCCAAATTCATTTTTATTTTCAATAGAATCAAAAAGAAGAATAAAAGGAATGATGAAATTTGATGTTAATGATCCACAATATGCATTTATTTTATTTGATCAATCAGATAATGATTTGTTTGGATTTGGATATGGTGTTGATATTTTTGTTTTTAAAGAAAATAATAAAACAAAATCAGGTTGTAAACAATCTTCATTTTCATATAAAGGAATATCAAAAGCACTTTGTGGAAAATATTGTTTCACACCACAACGAATTATTGTAATTGAAATGAAATGATTTTTATTCATTATTATTTATTTGAAATATATAACTAAAAAAGAATATAAAATAAAATCAATAAATAAATATGAACATTTCATTTATCAATAAATGAAATGATGAATATAAAAATGTTCATATTTCATTCTGGTTTTATTTTATTTGAAATAATCATATTCAATGTGTTAATTTAATAAATAATAAAAAGAAATAAAAATAAAAGATAAATAAAAATATAATAAAATATTTATTTTATTCTTTTTTATTTATTTTTTATTTTATTTATATTCTTTTATATTTATTTATTTTATTCTTCTTTTTTTATCTTTATATCTATTATATATTTCTTATTTTATTATTTATGTTATATTCTTATATCTTTTTATTCTTATTTTATATTTATTCATTATTATTCATTTCATATTAACATTGTTAAATATCAATACAACATATAATAAATAAATGATATAAGATAAACAACAACAAATAATAATAATAATAAAATATAAACAAACAATATAAACAAATATAAAATAATAAAATATCATCTAATATAAAATAATAACAACAAAGAATAAAAAGAAGAAATAAATGATGTTTAGAAAAGAAAAAAATTGACAAAAAGAAGAAATAAATGATGATATTCAAAGATAAAAATCAATATAAAATATAATATAATAAATAATAAATAATAAAAATAAGAATGATTATATCTTATTTTATTATTATATTCTTCTTTATATTATATTATTTTATTATTTTATTTTAAAATTTAATCCTGTTTTGAGTAAATTGATACCAAACTTTAGCTTTCATCCTAAAGAAAAATAATGAAATTGAAGTGCAATTTCATTAACAAACTCATAAGAATTGATTTTTTAGTGTTGTTATGTTGGAAAGAAGTATTGATGAGTTAGGGAGAAAACAGACACTAAACAATAAATTAAAAGCCAAAGTAATGAAAAAGGATTATTTGTCGATAAGAAGAGTAATTGAATCTAAAATTTTTGTTGCATCTTGAGGGTTTTGGGTTCTTTGCATTAGTCCTTGGTCAAGGAGGTCTTGATAGATTGCTCTTGATTGAAGGACAAAAGCAGCACAAGCAACCCAATTATTTAAGTCCATTGTGTTGTTATATGAAAAGATTTTAGACAATATATCAACAGTGCATTGAGTGGCTCCAATAAAACCAAGACCAGTAAGTCGTGATTTAATAATTTCTGGACCACTTCCATTATATGCATTGAATAAAGCATAACAAATTTCTAGATAACGATAAATTGCAATGAACTCATAAATGTTCAAATGACCAGTTCTAGAGGTATCGAAAATCCTCATAAATCTAAGTGCTGTTTGTGGAGATAAACGAATACATCCAGGATAACTTCCTGTACTAATTTCGTCAATCTCTAATGTACCACTATGGTCTTTATCCACTTGATTAAACCAAGCAATAATTTGTGAAAATTGTTGTGGTTTAATGGATTGAATGATTGGGAAATACCACTTCTTCAGAAGCTCAAATGATGGTGGTTGAGGAAGTCGTTGTTCTGATAATCCCAAGCAGAA